CCACGCCAACAAACAAAGTCGCCTTCATCGCGCCTCATCATTCACACGGTATGTCAATGGTCGATATTGCGCGGTAGTCGAAAACAGCACCTGTCATCAGCCGTCTGTTGTACAAGTCGGTGCTCTTAGCACACGTCGTACCGCAGCACCTGCATCGTGCTCCTGCTTCCATAACGCCGTCCGGTATCGCGTCAGTCGAGAATTGACGTCCGGGCAGCACCTAAAAAGTCATGTGAGTGCTTCAGAGAAATCACGTGCATCGCCATCGCTCCTTCCTGTTCCAAGGTTGTCTCACTTTACTAGCTCGATGACCCTTACTCCTCGACCTCACTTCCGGAGACCCCGTGAGGAAGTCTCAAAAGCATCAAGAACGTCAAGGCGCAGTCATTTCTCTCAGTCACGCAATACACTACCCGTCTTCGAAATACATTACTCCACGCTCAAGGCGCAGCACAGCCCATGTGCCAGCAGCCGTCAACAACACAAGCCAGTCATCAAGAGCCAGAAGGCGCCGACAACGGAAGGCACATTGTGATGGTCAATGACCCACTGTAAGAGAGGTACAGAACTGATTCCGGATAGTATCCATTGCTCACTTGGATGCTTGCGTGATTCGCGTGTACCATGACATGGACATGTTGGGTTCTTGTGCTATGATGATAGTACAATTGAGCCTCCTTCCAGTTACACAACGGCGACTGCCCCATGGCTGCCAGCAAGACGGAAGCAATACGCCTGGTCCACAAAGATGAACGCGTCGCTAGGACCTCGCCATCCTCAATTAATGACAAAGGACGAGGACTCGTATCAGACTTGAACTACATGCAGCCTACGTCGATGAGCTGCGTCTGCATGGGCCGTCTATGAAGTCAAAATATCATGCCAATGAATACCCCCACAGACAGTTGTCTACTACTGAGTTCCCGTGCAACTTGATGAAGGTTCAAGTTACACAATTCCGAACAAATGTCTGCGCGAATGTATTGTTGTTCGATGTCATCTGACAATAATTGACACTACCTAGGTAACTTCTCTCCTTTGGACCATGCACGAAGCCATTACTGAATTTACGCCTCTTTTGAGAGAGCATGGTCTGTCTCCAAGCTTCCAACTGCTTCCTTCAGATTATCAAGTCATGTATCATACGCCTTATTCGACAACTCATGACTATTCTTGCTTCTTCCTCATTAACGTATTGGAGCCGCTATCGATTACTCAGGGTATGAGCTTTGACGTCTTTGACGTCTTTGACGTCAATGGCGAGCGGGTCGGCATCCTATCCGTAGAACAACGCAAGACTGATGTTCAGGCTGCGTGTGATGGAAGCGCGGGACGGAATTCCAGTGCAATCGGCCATCGAGCACAACATGATGTCAGACAGGCTATTGAGTCGTCGGCAACTTAAAGAAGTCCCCTTGCGCGATGAGAGAGAATGAGCAACCATGTTGCTAACTTCAGGACATCGAGGCGAGCTCCAAAGAGCCTCGTCTCATTATGTATGCAGTAACGAGATATTGATAGGGCTTACCGATATCAGGCACAGACACTAGCTGCTGAAGCGCCTTTGAAGGCGGCTCTGCTATGTTGGTGTTTCAGGACTGTACGACATGGGTTCGCCAGTGGATCAAGTGCCTCAGAAGCATTTCCCCGCGCTTGAACAAAAGCAATCGCGTCAAGGGCTAAATTTGGCCTGTCTATTCTGGCATGTCTGGATTAGCGATATGTCTACTTTTTGCGAGGGACCAGAACCGAGGGTGATGCAAGTACAGCAATTTCTGTTGTGTCGTAGGAAGGCTCGCAGCCTTCTAGAAGAGTAGTGCACGCATGATGTCGTGGCCATGCAAGTCTGAGTTGGTTTTTCGGTCTGGATTGCTGCGCGACGACTACCATGGTCGAGATTACCGCTTCAAGACGGCGAAGGGAGCCAGCGCAATGCTAAGGGACGCCGTTGAAGCCTACGAAAGTATTGATTTTCCCAAGTGTGGTGTTTCGCGGCGAATCTGTAACGTGACGGGTAGATCGGCAGAATCCAGGACCGGGGGCTCAGAGTGTCGTGTGCAGGCGGAGGTGGCAAAGCGCCGCGCGATTCCAAGCCAAGCTGCGTCAGGCACTTGACGTCTCACGCCGATCTCACAATCACGCCAATCCATCATCACACTTCGACGCCTTTCCTTCACCCTCACCCACGACGGCGCACTGCTACCGACGGCAATTCGCACCTTCACCACGCCCCATCGCGTCGCTGCCCTGTCGCCAGCTCTGCCAGCCATCCGCCGCGGCACGTCAACGAGTGGTTACCGGCCCCCACTGATCCGTCCAGCGACTCCACTGGACGACTTCATCCCGGAACGAGCGCTGCTGCGCCCATCGCACCCGCCCTCACCGAATCGCAACCCCCATAGCAGTCGATTATGCTGCCTCAAGAACCGCTGCAAGCGGGCTCGCCGCACACGACGCTCTCCCGGTCCTACTACCCGACCGGCAATGCGCCCTTTGCGCATGCCACCATCCTTACCGGAGAACCGGCTTCACAGCTCGATGACGTGCGGATATCAAGATACAACAACACTCTCGGCTCGACGGCCAAGGGCATCATGATAGGCATATTCTCCGTGCTGGGCGCTGCGGGCGTGTGCCTTATCATTGCCGCCATTGTTTACTACTTCCGCTACACCAACACAGGGCGCATCTTCCTCGACCGGATAACACGGCCGGGTGAATATGACGACGAGCAGCAGTTTGCCAAGGAGGAGGCCGAGGCGCTAGAGGATATGGACGACCTGCAAAGAACAGAGTACATGAGAGCGAAAGGTATGCCAGGCAGGTTATTGTGCAGGGAGAGCACCAGCTAACCTCCACAGCTTTTGTGCAAGCCAACCCGCCCGAGTCCGTTCAAACCGACATATCACTATCGCAGTTCTTGGCTATACAAGAGAAGGGAGTGTCCGCCTGGGAATTTGAGCCCGAACTAGAGATTGCCAACTGCTTTGTCGAAGGCCGCACGGAAATTGAGTTCTTTGATTCGGAGTGCAGCGTCCAGAGCAACCTCCCGATCCCGAAGCAAAACGAAGTCTACTACTGGGAAGCCAAGGTCTACGAGAAGCCCGAGAACACTAGCATTGCGATTGGCGTCACAACGAAGCCGTACCCGTTGTTCAGACTACCAGGTATGTCTAAGACGACGTCCTACCTTTCACTCTTTTACTAACATTTATCAGGATACCACAAAGCCTCGATATCGTACATGTCCAACGGAAACCGCCGATACAACCAGCCCTTCCAACCCTCCGCTTACGGCCCATCTTACGTGCAAGGAGATGTCATTGGTGTTGGATACAGACCTCGAACAGGAACAATCTTCTTCACGCGAAATGGAAAGAAACTCGACGACGTCGCCCACGGACTCAAGACACAAAACTTCTTCCCCACCGTAGGCGCAAACGGCCCGTGCCAAGTTCACGTCAACTTCGGCCAAATGGGCTTCGTCTTCATCGAAGCCAACGTCAAGAAATGGGGTCTAGCCCCCCAAACCGGCAGCCTCGCACCCCCACCCCCCTACGGCAGCGAACAAGGATCCATACTACTCGACTCTGGTCGCGAGGGCATAAGAGAAGGTATGGGCGGAAGCTACATCCAAGCCGGTTTTGGCCACGGCCGTTCCAGCAGCCAGCAAATGCGTCTCGGACGCCAAGTACCAACGAGCCCCGGCCCGCAGCGCAGTCCAACCGACATCTCATTAGCCGCCCTTAGTCTGGTCGACTCTAACGAAGATGTCGGTGAAGGGGCGAGCCACGATGATCACGCGACAACTACAATCCCCGTAGACCAACGTCAAGGTCTTGGACTTCTGTCACCTGGCGAACTTCCTCCGGAATACAGTAGTCCTGTTGGCTCGCCCAACCTGCGCAACACGGCCGATCACGAACGAAACGGATACTGGGACGAGCGAGCACCGCTCCTGCAGAACCAGCAGCAGCCTGGGGAAAGAAGTCCACCGGTACCCAGCTATGATGCGGCCATGGCCGATACACCTGAGATACGGCGTCCTGCTATCAGAGTGAGGAGCGCGACGGAAGCTGGTGTGAGACCGCGTGGACCCCGCTAGACGAGCTGGAAGTCATTTTTCTTTTGTCTTACTCTACTCTCCATTGTTCTGACGAATCCGAGAGGAAGGATTGCGTCTTTTCACTATACCCTATCGCTCAACTTTTTCCTTTTTCCTATCGTTGCCGGGGCTGGATCCATCTCATTGCGAAGGATCATTATGGATCCGACGCACCGCTGTGGGGACTTTCTCCATGGACTGCATGGGTGGCAGCGAAACATATTTTCGAGCAGGTTGATTATCTCACCAGTCCAACAACCTACCTGGCGTTTATGGAAGCGAGCATTGTCACGTTTATTTTTGCTTGCTTTCTGGGAGGAGTCACGAATGATTAAGCACACGAATGCTCTTGTTGCTGGCGTTTTGATAAGGGATAGATTGGATTCATGTGCGTTGAAGCGTGGTCAAATTGGATTGCGGCTGGCTTTGGCTACTCATGTGGTAGCTGTGGTTTGTAGTAGTAAAGCGACGAGTTGGTTGGAATGTCAATACACATACGCTCTTACCACGCTCTTATTGTTTCTCCCCTCTCATGCGTCTTTCTCATTAACAAGGGCAGGTCCAGCCACTTCCTAGGGTCTTTCCAAAAGTCAGCTACTCACCCGCCTTGTGCGATAAGTGCAAGCTCTTCCTGACTCCCGCTTCAGCACCGAGTACCAAGAACGCAGTTTACGAACATGAGTCATCCTCATTGTCGAACCCCACAAGCATACAAATCCCGGCCTCATAGACAACCATGGTACTCTTCCAGGTTGTCGTACTTGGCGTACCAAAGTGAAAACCTAGCGCTCACTCAACTTGTCGAATAGCTTCATCTTGCTGTTCATCATCTCACATACTCTTAAACGCATTCAATATCGCCACCACCTCCGATACCTTCCACAGTCCAACAACGATGTCAACAAACAATTCATGGGCAGACAGTCCACATCCATGGCGTAATCCCGCCATCATCTTCTCGTCACTCCCAGAATCCCTCATCCTCGCCGACCTAAAACGCTCCTGGCACTTCCAGCGCGAAGCCCAATTCCGCTGGATGCAAAAAGTCATCTGGACCTCGATTGACCGCTTCCGCATTGTCCTCCGCGACGTCGAAGGCACGGTCGGCGACATAGCAAAGGAACTGTGCAACAAACCCACGGCATTCTATTGGCTTCAGTCAGCGCAAACAGGTGCACCCCACGCCCCCGAGAAGACGTGTATGTCCGGCGGTGTCTTTGCTGCTATATACGAAGAATGGCGTCGGAGCTGTGGCAAGCTGGATATCGAGTTTGGACATTTTTTCGCTGCGCCTGTGAGAGTTGCGGGGACGGGTCCGGACAGCTTACCGCAGATCTTGGAGGCGCATTTGGAGCTTTGTGCGCAAGCACGGCGTGTCTCGTTGGATATGGAGAACTACTCCGTGCATCCGCTTCTCCCTGCTGTTATCCTCGTATGCGACCGCCGTGACTCGACAGCTAGATGTGGTTCAGACGGCTTCGTCAGTCTGCGCGAAGTAGCAAGGACGAAGACTGTGCTGGTTATTCTCACCGGAGTAGCAAATCGGACCAGCACCGGTATCCACATTTCTCTTGATCCTCTCAAACCACTCGCTCTGCCCATCGACAGAGACGATGCCGCTGGCCTTGATATCCTGCGCGTGCCCCTGGATATCGCCGTCAGGTTTATCATCGAGTTGGAGGCCAGGATCGATGAGCAAATGGAACCGAGCAGTGCAAACTTAGACAAGAGTCTCTGTCTGCACCAGACACCTGTTGGATACAGTAGCGATATCAGGGTTTTACCCCAATGTATGGGCGAGGATAATGCGGGCAGAGGCGATGAAGATTGGGTTTAGGAAGTTGGAGGATACGAAATATGCTGCTGTGCGCGTTTATGCACAGCTTTCTGGGGAAGAGTCGGGTTGTGAATTAGAACACATGCCATTTGGCCAGACGTGGAAGCCCTGAAGTCATATGCGTTTTTGATTGATCGTTCCGCGTGGGATCGAGGCATACGCTGAGTGCAAAGTTCGAAATCGGTTTCTACGTAGACCTGCCGAAACACCATCACAACACATACCTAAAGTACACATTCTCCTTATCCGTCAAGTCCATAAACGCCAACTTATCCCTCTCCCCCTCATCAACACTCATCTCATCCCTTTTCGCATTCTCCCTCTTGAGATGCACATAAAGCGCTACGGCCGACGCAATTGTAATACAATAACAGATGATCAAACCTGTCCATAACCTAGGATAATGTTGCCCCTTTTCCTGACTCCGTATCAACAGCGGTCCAACGATATTGCCTACGCAATACGCAACGAAGACCGTACCGGCCATGGCACTCTTCTTCGTTGCGCCGCTGACGTTGGACATGGCAATGACAATTGTTTGGCTGACTACCGCGCCGAAAGTGCCGATTATGGAGTAGCCCGCGACGGGCGTGGGGGCATGGTATGTCCAGGAGGATTTCCAGATCATGGCGCAGCCGGCTATGACGGGGAGGCAGTTTACGATGAGTAAGATGATCCGGATGTTGGGTATCCGCGAGGACGACCATCCGCACAGCAGGATCGTGACAAGACAAATGAGTCCAAGCGGAAACTGCCAGAGTATGGATGCGAGAGGCGACCATCCGAATGTGTTTACGATAAGTGGGCCGAATCCGGAGACTGCGCCGTTGACGGTGTATGCTGACCCCATGAGCAGGAATACGAGGTAAAACTTTACATCCGTGACGCATTCCCTGAGTTGATACATCTTGATCTTCTGACACCGCACGCCCGTCGCTCCCTTCCTCAGCCGCTCAACAGCTACCACGCGTTCGTTCTTCGTCAGAAACCACGCCTCGGCGCAGGAATTGGGGATGAAGAAGCAGAAGCAACCGAAGAGGAAGGTTAGACACCCAGCGAGGAGGTAGATGTACTGCCAACGGCGTAAGGCGCCGGAAGTTATCTGTGCGAACCCGTAGTTCAGCGCGCCACCGATGATGGTGAAGAGCCCCGTGCTGCTAAACCACCAGGACTGGCGAACGGATTGCTCGCGTTGCGTGTAGTAGCTGCTTACTATTGTCATAAAACCCGTTGGAATGATACTTTCCACGAATCCCAAAAAGAAACGCTGTACATACAATCCCCTGTAGTCTGTAACAGCGGCTGTCAACATGCAAATGAGACTCCAGAGTAAGACGACGGCGCCAAGGATACGGCCTAAGTTGAAGCGTTGGAGAGCGAAGGTGAGGGGGTAGAGGCCTGCTAGCATCCCGAAGTAGAACAATGAGGTGGCCCATGAGAGGCGTGTTGTCGAGATCACGGCTGGAGAGGTGTAAGTGGCAGGGGAGAGGGTTTGCGTGAGATGTAGGTCGGTTGTCATGCCGAAGAGAGCGGCGGAACCGAGGATGGCTTTGTCGTAGTATACTAGACCGTAGCCTGATGGCTTCTTGTTAGAGGGATGAAATATGATGGTCTGGGTTTTGAAATCGATGGGATGGACGTATGGATGAGGCTGTTGGTTGGTGATGGATTCACGTACCCACTATCATGGCTGGGATGAGAAACCAGTCGATCTTTCGAAGAACTTTTACTTCAATTGCTGGATCGATTTCTTGTGCGCATTCACCGACGAGGTTGATCGCTAAGTCTTTGTCGGTTGATGTTGGGTTTATGGCTGTTTCGGCGTCATGACCAGGAGATGACGCCGTCGCTTTCTCGTCTGACCGGGCAGTCGCCATGTTGATGTCGCTGTCGCGATTCTGAGTAAACAGCCAGAAACAAGAGATGAGAGGATTAGAGAGAGTACCGAAGTTGATGATTTCACATCGCTTGACTCTACACGCACGGCTTGGATATCCACGGGATGCCACATAAACACTAGCGTCACGTCAATCCAGCATGCCAAACCTCTGCAAGCTGCAAGCGAAGCCGGCGGCCAATCCAGGACCCTAGGCACGCCATCTGTGCAGAACTATGATTGGCGGGTGCTGAGCATGCCGCGTGAACTGGCAGAAGTTGGGATGAATTGCGCGGGTTAACTATGAACGCTAGTACCCTACAGGCTTAGTGCTGCGATGACATAATCGTGAAAAACTTTCCCTTTCTCACGCCGCGCTTTCTCCCGCCTACTCTGCCCAACCACAACCGGTGCCACCATCACCACGCGCGTGTGAGGTTTGTGTACTCATGTCGTACACACCCTACCACACATACAGCCACCAACGCTGCCTTCACCAATCCGTGAAGAGACGCGCGCGTCGACGCGAAGCTTGGAAGCCAAACGCGTGCGCTTTCGTAGAACGGTCTCTTGCCTCGCTCAATCCGCTGTTCCATCAGCAGATTTCGAGCTGGATGCACACAACGCTTTCTCTTTTCTTTCTTCGAGGAAAAGAGGTTGTGTGTATGAGACAAGAGTAAATGCGACGATCTTTGAGTACGGAACCGCCTGAAACCATGTGTCGGACCTCTGTAATTTATCTGTCGGGACATATTTTGCGTGATGGGTGCTTTACTTGACGAGATGAGAATGTGAAACGTGGGATAAACCTATAGATAAGTCGTGTCATTGGGGCCAAATGCTACTGAGAGATTGGTCCGTATTAGAACGAATTGAGATTTGTCTTCAGCGCTACACTAAACGGAAATCCCTTACTTCGCGATGCGTATCACGATAATTATCATATTCTCCCAGTTGCTGGACAAATTCTCGACAAGCTCCGACGACTACAAACTCCTCTTGGCCAGATGCTATAGCAGGGCGGAGTAGCCACGGACATGCATCTCCATTCATCAAGGCTACCACATCTCCCGTTTGCGGTCTATCGTCGTCTCTTACCAGGCCAGAGATAATCCCCTGCGAAGTGACTGTCCACGAAAGCTCCGCAATCTCCCTGGATAAGATGACCTTCTTGTCGCTTGATAATGTCCTGCTTTGACTGTGCACGAGTGATGAGTGATACAGGCAGTCGTCGTATGTCTGTTCGATCTGGCTCGTTGTCATACGATCCAGTATCAACTGCTCAGATAGAGCCTTGAAAATCTGCGACAAAATATCCTCTTTGTCCAGAGATAGTTTTACGCAGGCGCTCTCAATGAATTTGTCGAAACGATCGATGATATCGTGGAACTGGAGTTCACAGGCAGTATCATAATAGCGCCCGTGTACAAGCACCACTTCGCCTAGATGGAGTCCTGGTGTTACCAAGACCCGACCTTCTTCCATGATGTTGACCTTCCGACCGTCTTCCATGATGTTGATCTTTCCACGTTTATAATTGGAAAGAATGAACAAACACGGTCGAGGCGATCGAAAATCCGGAACCCAACTGGGTACTCCTTCAAGCTTGTTTGTGATGCGAGGAATGATAGAAAGAGCGCTTGTGTGTTTCAATATGGCCATACTATATGTATGAAAGATCTCAGCAAAGGGACGTGTGTAGTCCGGCACCAGCGCATCAGGGCATCTCAGGTTACCACCGATGGAAAGTACGCCGTAGATGTAATCATGCGGAATTGTTGCTTTAAATGTTGAAACCATATTCGAAATCGCCGCTTCCAACATGACGGCAAAGATTCGGGTCCTGAGAGCTTCTTTTGCATCCATAGGGCTCCGATTTGGCTCTTGTGACACGTCGGTCCAGTTATCGGGGATGTGCTCTTCACGTTCAGGCGATAGGGAACAAACACTCTCGTTTTTGTCTGCATCTTGCGTTGAGAGAGAAGATACATTTGCATCTTGTGTCAAGATAGAAGACCCGTCTGGATTGGTGTCATGCCATTGGAATATATCTCGGATGTTGTCACGAAGTTTGTTGCGGATATGGGAGTAACTCGCTTGTCGAGTCAGAGCCTTAATATCGGCATCGGCCAGTTGTCGCTTATGAACCACATAGTTGATAACATAACAGGTAATCGGAAATCGCTCAGAGTTGCACCAATGAGCACCCGCTAAGAGAACAACATGTTGTGCCCTCACAATTTCTTGTACTACCCATACTCTTTCGTACCATGCCCGTCTCGTGATATTCATTGAAGCATGAAACATGTCCAAGAGTTCGACGTCGCTGAACTGAGAGATCCTGGATTTCAGTTCGTCATAACCTTCGTATTCCGACTCGTCGTCATCTTCGGATTCCAGCTCGTCATCATCTTCAGATTCCAGTTCGTCGTTATCTTTGGATTCCGATTCGTCATATGTATCCATTTCATGAACTAAACGCATGAGTTCCTGGATGCCGCTGTCTGCTTCGTTCTCTCCTAGCCAGGCTAAGACAAGCTCTGCAGCACCATAGATCCCTCCCATCCGTGGTACCTGGGCCGACTTTTCTGTCTCATCTGCCTGATTGATACACAGCGCGTCGATCCAGAATAGGATGCTGCTCTCCAGGAAGATATCGGGTGCAGAAGGATTCTCGAGCAAAGCTCTCAGTCGTCGCAGACCAGCGACGAGATTGACGGTCCTTTGTACAGGTTGGCCATCGAGCAGTAGCTCATCCGTGAGATTTGGATCGCCCCATGCATACGACAATGCAACAAAAGGTGATATTATGTACGTTGGTGCAGCCGAAGCAGATTTCTTGTCTTGATCCTCTTCTTCTACGGGTGACGATCGACGTAAGGACCGTGGGTCATACAACTCTTGATTCAGTAATCTCGGCAGCGGTTTACCCGAAAACCATGCCTCTACCAGATCGACTTCAGTGTTAGGCAGCGGTAGATATACCAGATCGCATTGAATGGGATCCGTCCAGGCACCAGGCTGAATCCTCACAAAGCGAACTTCGTCGCCTTCGAGCGGTCTGTAAATGTTCTCCATGTGGTAGCTGTGAGATTCGACGTTGAAGCATGCGTTGCTGTGTGATGAGTTGCGGGAGTGTAAGACGATGATGAAAGAGTGTCGCTCATAGCCACAAGGCTATGGCAGAGTTCTGGGCGTTCATGTTTCTCAGCTTTGGGGGTTGTGCCACGCGAGATGCAGTCAGCGCGCCGTCGCCCAATAGCATGCACCTGCTGCCGCAATTAATCGATCTTATACAAGGGAAAACGTAAACGCCTAGAGCCTACGTTAACGTTAGGCTACCTACTTTGCGTGTTTTTATCTTAATGTAGGCTCTTAGGTGTTTAGTTTTGCCCTAGTATAAGGTGGATTCTGTATGCAGCCGTGCGTTTCTCCGAAGGATTAACAGCGCTCTCTCAAAGTTGGGTTACAGGAGGAACGATACAAAGGGAGGAAGCTCCGGAGCACTCGTAGTCTTCAAGAACTGGAAACAATAACGAAGTCGAGAACACTCGCTTGGACAACGGCTGTTACGCCATCTTGGGAACTCCGAACGCATCGAGCACGATGCGAATGCTTCGTGACCACAGGACAGAGCTGGGTCACCGCATCGTCGAGAAGATCGTGGTTTTCGGTAAAGAGGGCCTTACGATTAACATGGCAGACACATGAAGTATGGCCATCCTTCTCTCCGATCGTCGGACCCCTCCATGTCGTATTCCCGGTTCCGTTAACTTGACTCGCCTTGCCTATTGAATCACACCAGGAAGGAAAACCCAAGGAACCCAAGGAGCTGAACACCCTAGAGCCTACATTGACGTCATGCCACCTGTTTTGCATGCTTTGATGTTTATGTAGTCTCCCGACTTGTTCATTGTTTTTCTTGTATGAGGTGCTGCTGGAGAGGAGGAAGAGCTGGGGAGGCGCCGCGGGACACGGGACCGGAAGAATGGACCCTGGAGCACCGTGCATGCCGCCAAGTCTAGCGCCTTGGCGACATGCGGGAACTCTCATGTCTGGAAGCTCAAAGGTGGTGGACACATTCATCCTTACACAGGGAATTCTTCCAACACCGCAGTCACAAGAAACTACGTATGACAGGCGCAGGTTTGATCGAACCTCCATCTTTGAAGACGCGTCTGATTTCATGCACACTCTCGAGTGCGCTCGAGAAGGAGAATTCATGTCAACTCCCCCACACATCTTCAAAGGATGGCGACTAGATTGCAGCGCTGCAGATGATTACTCTGAATGCCCCACCGCAGCTGACGCCACGCTATGGAGGATGCTCGCCCCTCGCCTAAGAAGTGCTACAAGACGGCAATAACAGCCCGGGTAAGTAGTGATACTAGGGTACGCTCTTGGTTGGGACGATCTCGCGTGTCAGTGCAATGCGTCTCGAACATCCCCGATCCAACATAAAAGTTCTTTCCCGTCATGTTCAATTCACCACCATATACATTCGTACCCTAGCATCATGAAGCTCTCCAACGTCTTATCAATGGCTTTGGCCAGTACCACCGGCGCGAAGAACATAGGGAAGCCTAATGAGGTAGACGCCCTCGCTGCCGAAAGTCTACATCGAATGCAGGCCTACTACTCGGAAAACCCATTGCCGAGTCCAGGAAAATGCACATTGGATAGCGTGGCCGTCCGTCAAGACTGGTGAGCGAAATACATACCATTCATTCTGCTCCAACTCACACACTGCAGGTCAGCCTTGAGTAAACACGAAAGGCGCAGCTATATCAAAGCAGTAAAGTGCCTGGCAAAACTGCCAGCACAGACACCCGCGGCCATCGCCTCAGGAGCAAGGAGTCGATATGATGATCTCGTCATCACCCACATTCAGCAAGCGTTCACAATCCATGGCACGGCCAACTTCTTAACTTGGCACCGCTATTATACGTGGGCTTTCGAGCAGATGTTGCGGAACGAATGCGGGTATAAAGGCTATCAGCCTTATTACAATTGGTACGTAAGATCAATCTAGACCTGTTTAAGACCCATACTGACATCTACGCCAACCATCAGGGGCCACTGGGCAAACAATCCAAAAGCCTCACCCTTTTTCGACGGCAGCGACACCAGCATGTCAGGAGATGGCGCATACATCGCGAACAGAACCTCAGTCTGTTTCCCATCAACCGAACAGTGCTACATCCAACTCCAACCCGGAAGTGGAGGCGGTTGCGTAACATCCGGTCCATTCAAAGAGTACGTACTACCCTCCTTTTCCTATCTCATCACGAGATAACCAACTTGCTAATAAAATTACCAGCTGGAAGATCAACCTCGGCCCCCTCGCCGCCGTCTCCCTCCCCCCTCCGACCCCCAACCCCCAACCCAACGGCCTAGGCTACAACCCGCGCTGCCTCTCCCGCGACATCTCGCTCCAATCCTCCGCCGAAACCCGCGACTCCGTCGTCGCCGCCCTAATCAGAGACAACACCACCATCACATCCTTCCAAACCGTGCTCGGCGGCGAATTCGCCCAGGGCAAAATGGGCCCCCACGTCGGCGGCTACAACACCATCGGCGGCGATGCCGGTTCCGATTTCATCAATTCGCCTGCGGATCCTGCGTTTTTTGCGCATCATGCCATGGTTGATCGTGTGTATTGGACGTGGCAGAATTTGGATTTGGAGGGGAGGAAGGAGGCGATTGCGGGGGGGACGAGTGGGGTGGGGGATCCGGGGGAGCCAGGGACGTTGGAGGATGTTATTACATTGGGGGAGTGGGTGGGATTTGGGAATGTGACGATTAGGGAGGCGATGAGTACGGTTGGGGGGCCGTTTTGCTATGTTTATGTCTAGGGTTGGGGTGTTGCGCTGCTAGGGATTTGCTATATGAAAGTCTAATGGACGAGGCCAGGTCCTGTTGCCGAGATGAAAGAAGTTGCAACACCCGGCCGAAATACAGCGCCTCGATGATCCCCTCGAAGTCCAAACCACCATACCAAGCTTGTCTTGACCTTGCCCCCTTCAATCCCATCCTCTCACCACCCCCCATCCCAAGGAACCACAACCCCTCCCGCGCTGCTCGCCTCAACATCACTCAACCCATTAAACTCCCAACTAACATCCACCCCATGCATCTTCCTGAACCTTGTTCTGGCATCCTTCGTCACAGGATCAACCTCCAGCTCATCCGGAAAAGTCTCAAGTAGCCTCTTGACAAATCTCTTGCCCGGTCGTACTATGGTTACGATCTTGATCTCCGTGTTGGGCGGCGGTGGAAGGGTCTCGGTCTTCGTTGTTTGGAGGGAAGATTTGCTGTCGCTGGGGGAGCGGGAGGGGTTGCCGGACGTGGCGCTAGCACCAGTAGTTGGATCAGTCCAGGGTCGATCGAGGGCGACTAGTCGATGTTGTGAGATTTGGCGTAGTCGTGTGCCGAACGATTCAGTAGGGGTGATGGAAGTGGAGGATACGGGGGATAGCGCAGACGGAGGGGGTTTGGTGTGTAGGACGTCGTGGAGTTGGAGGCAGAGTGATGTGACGACTTTGAAGCGGTTGGATCGGATCATGCCGGAGTAGAGCTTGTTGGCGTCTGTGCTGTTTGTGGGGGTTGTAGGTGGTGGTGTTTGCTGAGCAGGTGGGTGTATGACCTGGACGGTGGGATTGTCCTGTTGGGCTTGGAGATGTTGTGCTAGCGGACTGGGGTTCGGTGGGTGGTTGTGCTGGCCGTGGGCGTGCGGTGCTGGCATCGCTTGTTGGTGATGTTGCGCTTGACCACCCATCCCCAACGCCCCCTGCATGAATTGCGGGAACGGCATCGCGGGCGCCGGTGGAGGCGGAGGCGGGACTTGGTTCGCGTTGGCAGGAGTATGCGCATGGCCGCCTGTGCCGCCGACGATTTGCACGCCGGTGGTAGTCATGACCTGGTTTATGGCGTTCTGGACATGTTGCTGTAGGGTGTGTATCTGATGTCCCACAGTATTCTGAATTGCCGGTAGGTGTCCCGCTGGTTGGGGTCCGAGCATTGGGCGTTGTATCCCCGCCAGTACGCCTGACATAAAGTGTGGGCACATTCCCAATTTGAGGAATACCCAGAGACTCTTCAACTTAGGCAGATCACTCCTTAGGCTCCTCTCTGCCTTCTTGCTTCCCATATATTGTGTCCATAATGGCAGGTCCTTATCCTTTATGCGGACGTACACGCTCGTTATGTTTGCGGAAGCGGGCGACGTGACGACGCGGAAGATGTTGCAGTCGCTGGGATGTGTGAATAGAAACTTGTTCTGTGCATACAAAACAATCACGGCTTCGTCGTGAACCTGCCTGTTCGTCCGGAGGAGGTTCACGCTGACATGGCGATGTTTGCTGTACGCCGATTGGGACACAGCACCGGGCCACAGGAATGGCGTGTTGGAGACCAGGGCATACGTGTACACGCGGTCGCGGAGTTCTCTCGGCAGAGACAAGAGCAGTGAGAAGCACGGATCGGGGTGAACTTCGTGGGTCGGCATCTGGGAGGCTGTAGGCGTGGGGAGTGCGGCGCTACGCGAATGCGAAGGGTTGCGGAGGCGCGCTGGGCGGCTGGCTGATTGCGGCGGCGCGTCTATCATGGTGGTGTCGGAAGAGCTGCTGCTGTTGGAGGAGGAACGCGACCGCGAAGGTGTCGAAGTGCGCGAGGCCATCTCGTCCAACTTCGGACGGGCGCTTGCTGATAAATAGCCTGCTAGCCTGTTTGTGGGGCAGCGAAGCGATACGGCGGACGGTACGGGACGTTGGGCGTGATGGTAGTAGTACCGTGTTGCGCGCGATTGGCGAAGCGGGGCGGATGATTCAGCGTGCTATCGATGCCCAACAATGGCAGACGGGGGCAGAGAGAACTTATAATCCTACGCGCCCTACGAGGCCGAGATTGAGGGGAAAGTGTTGAGCGGCTGTGACCTGTGCCTCATTCCTCCACTGCTGTGATCCCATCATCGTCCAGCCGCTCACGCTATCGCCGAGGCTAGACCGGTGCCGATCAGCGTTTGCACTACCCAATAACCTGCACCATCATCCACTATAGCTATCCCAAGAACCGCAATGTGCTCTTCCATCTGTTTTGCCTTTTCACATGACCGATCTCTCTTGGTACGTGTGTTCATGCTGTCGGTCCTTCAACAGTACAATCATTTGTCTGGTTGGCTGTCCCGCGGTGCTGAGCGGGGAACCGACATTCAGCCTTACGCACATGTTGCGCTGTCATACAACTTGGTAAATCTCCTATGACTCAATCGCGAGATCATGAGTGCCCGAAACAAGCAGCCTCAGCTTGGGCTGTGGTGAAGGTTGGCAACCACGCGATCGTTTGTGCCACCCATCACAGCATTATTGCGAAGTGAGATCGCATCTGTCGCAATCTGAGCCACGACCAGATTCGATTCCCGGGTCGTGGCCAGCCTGAACGTTCCTCTGGGATACGCAGGAGAGATCTTCGATAGGTTTTACTCAACCCAGCTTGGCTACAAGCTCCCCACACCGTGTTATCAAGTGTTCCATCAACCGAAGCATTCTGAATCCATCAGCGGCAGAGGCAGGACGGTTTAGTTTGCGTAACCATCGGCTGCCTTGTAGAGCAGCCACCATCTTTCCAGCGGTATCCTGCAACTACCCATGTGTTCTTTCTTCGCTCTGGTCATGTCTTTCTCTGGCAAGTATGATCTTCCACGTTCTTCCAGCGCGCGGAAAGAGTTGGAAATGGGGAACAAAGAATACAATGCGTAGGCGAGTGGTTTCACAAGAGGCTGTAAGGCTTAAATATGCAGATTACCATACCTGTATGCATGTCTCAACCGGCACGTTCAAAGCTAACCCAGAACTACAAATAATCCGATACAAACTACTATGGACGAAGCGCAACTACCGCAATTCCCTCTTGCAGAAACGCCACGCTGTCGCCGTTGTGACTGGGAGCCCAGGTACCGGAACAAAGTCTCGGAAAACAATAGGAATGGCAACGCAGGCCGGCCGTACTACAAATGCGTCCGCTGTGAGGGCAGGGCAGGACAAGGCGCACGGGACCATCTCAAAGGCTGGATAACATGGGATGATGAACGCGGTATGGACGTCAGAAATCCGGAGTGTTACTGCGGGGTGGCTAGTCGTCAGGACAAGGCAGGTGCTCATACGAGTATACCTAGGTTGGGGTTCTGGACGTGTGCGACGGGTAGGTGTAATTACTATTCGGCGGCTAAGAACGGGCAGACTGTAGAGCAGAGGGTGGAGAACCCGGAGATGGCAGAGTACCGCCAGTTTAGACCGTGGTTGCTTTAATCAGGAGTGGTCAGGACGTAAGCTCAGTATAATGTGTGTTGGGTCATGCTGCGTCGCGAGATATGCCGGCCTATGGTTAGTTACAAATATACCAAGTAGGCAACCTAAAGTCAACGTAAGCTCTAGTACTTGTTCCTATGTACACATAGATAAACCGTCCAGCTAAGTGCTATTGCACTCAAAAGACTCCAGGCACACTCATATATTGGCAGCCTTGAACTAGACGTTGTAACCGAGTTTTCGCCGTGTCTTCCTCTCGTCCAGATTGTTTTCCAGAAAGACGACATAATTAGATTATATAGAATATTTCCCTTTCGCATGCTTCGAAATATATTCTGTCGGCGCACTCTCGGGAGGTACAGGAATCGACACCACAGGAATTGACACCGAGGATGTACCCAATGCCTACGCGCTCAAAACAACGCCCCATGATACTAGCAAGGTTTCGCTCTACCAAGACCAAACATACTGTTTCTTCGGACATGTGCACAGGAGAAAGATAGAAATGCTCTGGCTCTTCACCTTCCCAGTCGAAGCACACAAATCCGTGAACTTCCTTCATCGCTTCTGATACTATTCGGAAGGCGCGTTCTCTCGGGTGGACATACACCTCCCCAGTGAAATGAATGTCTCCCCTAAACTTTCCTTTGTGTGAGGCTCGTAGCATTCCCGATACTTTCAGAGGATGGCATTCCCATGGAACGTGAACTTTGCTTCCGATTGCCATGAGCTTTAACCTATAATCAACCCAGTCGTAGAATGACTCGCTCAAGTCTTCGGAGACCCGGATGGTGCTGAACTCTACTTCACCCTCTAGAGATGCCCATGACCACGACGAGCACAGCCTGGATAGCTTAATGTTATAAGGTAATGGTGTGACTTTTGGCCCTTTGGGAAACCACAGCAATTCGTACACGAAGCGCCACGAGCCATCATCCCAATGACCATCGACACAAGAAAGCCCGGTTTGTTTCTCAACAACTTGGATAATACCCAGCAGAGCCATCATGCGATCTCGCGTTTCAGTAAACTTCCGGGCGCAGTAGTAAATAACCAAGGCTCTCCAGCATTCGTAGAACTCGCCAAGTTGCGATCCAGCATATCCTGTGCGGAGGTCATTTGTGCGTTCGACAGGTAATTGTCCGATGTATGGAATGGCATTTTCTTGTTTGCGCGCTCGTCTCGTGATGGGCCGATTGCAATGACTGTGAAGGTACTTAGGGTGTGTGGGGTATGGAATGGCGTTCACATGAGTCCAAAATTTGGATAGTTCCTGATGAATTGTATCTTTGACCTCGATGCCGCAGTCACTTTCTTCTCCGAGAAAGTGCTTCTTGCATTCCCAGTACACCTGTGAAGAGGCAAAGTGAAGTATACGTCGCGAAAGTATCTTTTCCTGTAATACCCAACCACGCGTATTCAGCGGTGCGTCATAGAGGTCGCTTTGAGGAGTCCAGGAGGCATCTGTAAGCCACATGTGTCCTTTATCTTCATCCCTACCATCACAAGGCAGTCTGATCCAATTGGTCACAGGGCGGGCGCTGTCTAGTCCATCGTTCCCATTTGTTGCCGAAGTTGCAGCTATGGTGATGTAGGCATTCGTGTAAATGCTACCCATATTTTTCGACTCACGAAGCCAGTCTTCTTCATCATCTTGCACAATACACAGTGAATCGATCCAGATGAATTCGATACCCAGCCGCCTTGTAACATGTAGTGCATCCTGGAACGTCTTCGACAGACTTTCAAAGACGATTGATTTTTTATACCGCTCGATGTTCCTTTTCAGCGTTCTGACTTGTGGGATATTGCCCCAGCAATGGCTCAACGCAACATAGCGACTGGCGTGCTGTTCTTGGGTGATGTGAAGATGCGGCTGTCGAGTTTCCGAGCCAACATGTATGACTCTGGAAGGTAAGTATTGCGGCGTTAGTTCTGGAAATTGGGCGGAGAGGTTCCGACAGCGGGTGTGTGTTTCGTCGCAGCTCTTGATTCGGCGAGCAATGTTCTGGAATGTAGTATCCGAGAAATTGGATGATGGTGCGCGCCAATAGGGTACAAACTTAGACGCGTATGAGCCTATCAAGATTAAAATCAGAAGCGAGCGTGCAGTGACTAAGTGAGTGAGTAACGTACTTTGTTCTGCATATATGCGAAACTGCCCCTTGAAACCAGGGTCTCTGTAGTTCTGTCCCCCAAAATACAATACTTTGATGATCGGCTGAAGGCCTCTGACTTTCAGTTTTAGATGAACGAATCCTGTTGTCCAATACCCAAGACGAAGGGAGTCAAAGATCAGTTTGCAAATGGGACAGTCGGTGGGCAGATCCCCATCATGCCCAAGTCCGCACTTTCTGCCTGGGCTCCAGCGCGTCTTCAAGACACTATGAAGTGTTTGCTGGCATTCGGTGCAGGTTCCTTCGGGGAACAGATTTGGATCTACATTCCTTATTCTATCTTCTGGCAATCTGACTTTCTCCCGTGGTCTGTCGATCCACGGGGTTCGAGAGTTGCGGGGATCGGGAAGGGGATGAAGTACGACGTTCGACAATTCTGCGGCGAGTCTTCCTTCCATCACAGAGAATGGAGCGTAGATTTTGAAGAAAATCGATGAACACAGCCCTGAAAAAAAGACTATCACCTTATACAAGGGAAAAGCTGAACACCTAGGAGCCTACGTTGCTGTTAGGCTACTAACTTTGTAAGCTTTTATCTTAATGTAGGCTCTTAGGTGTTTAGTTTTTCCCTTAAATAGGGTGCTATTCTTATCTGAGGATGTTATTAAACTCATGTAGGAGGATTGGTCAGCTGAGTAGCTGAATTAACCGCCAGCTTATCCGTCATCCTTACCCCACCTAGCCCACCATACCGATCGGGCATCGAATCAGCTTTGCTGTATCCGTCGCCGGAAACCATCGTACCTTCCATTGCGATGGCCCAATAGACGATCATCACGCAGGATAGAATCGTGCTTGACCTACTTCGAACGGGCCGCAAACACATCTCGTTATTGTCCTACGGCAGCCAATACCTGAAGAATAATAACCGGTACAGACGATGAGATCGTGCCCACCAGAACCATCATACCCCGGCTCTTCAGCGTCGTCGCCATGCAAAGCGCGCACAAAAGACCAACCGTTGGTCCAATCGTCCAGATGCAGAACCAGATATTCACCCACCATATGAAACTGGAAATGAGCACAAACACTAAGGTCACCAGATACCACCACGTATTCTCCACCAGCCATCGCCGAAGCGATGTATCGGGCAGTTGCATCTCTATGAGGAGTGAAGAGTCATATGAAATGCGTCCTCCATGTACTTCGGCGATACGCTCTTGCACCTGCTCTTCGGAGACAGTCTTGTGGTCGATAACGTCCACGTCGAGCTCTCTTGACATTGCTGCCGCGAGCTCAAGCACAGCTTTGTGCGTGCCTGCAACAGAGTCTCGGCCCCGCTTGAGCATGGTACTTTGAGCGCGCCACCACATTGTGACAATGCCGATTGTCCAGACTAGGAGCATAATATCCATGCAAAAGAGCTGGATCGACGAGAAGCCCCATTGGTAAATCCTCTGGCAGTGAGTTAGTGAAGGATCATAGGGGTGCTGTGAAGAGTATGTCATACCCCACTTGACTGACACATTCCTTTCTGAGATAGGTAGTCGTAGTCGTATGTCTCGTTCGCCCACATCCAAAGTATTTTCTTCTGATCCTCCTTCGCGAAATCTGTAGCTGAACCATACAAGCTCGGGTCGTAAAAATACGAGGTCGTGATGTTGAGAGCTGGTGCGTCGAGAGGCTGGTTCATGAAGATAGATGCTTCTTGTGAAACCCCGTTGAAACCGTACTGCTCGGCATCTTGAGTGCGCATTAGCGGTGTTTATCATTCAACGGAATGAAATACATGTACATTTGGAGACATTGTTTTGCACTAGGCATTCGTACGTATAGCTCCGGCTAGACATGATCGAGGCTACGTAGGTTGCGTTCCAATGGTAGTCTTCGGACGGCCACCGCAGGCTTGTACAACCACCATCAAGTGCTTCGTCGGATATAGTTGGTTCCTGGGACAAGTGAGAAGAGAGCACAATATCCGTCTCCTTGTATACTCACCGCATCCGCACCGTACCCCCCGTCGGTGACGAAATATTCCTTTGTGTGCCCAATTCTGTCGCCATCGTGGATTACGTAAAGAACTTGAGTAAACCTGTCGAAGCGAATCCAGTTTCCATCTTGGTGATCTGGCACGTACGCTTTGACGATGCTAGTATATCCTGTCATTGCGCTTGCAAATGTTGGAAAACAAAGCGTGAAGATCATCGTAATAACCATGAACACCATCGCAATGAAGGAATGCAAACGTTTGCGACAGGCAAAATCCCGTACTACCAGGATAGTCGACCACAAGGACGGACCAGTCTCCAGAAACACAGCTCGATACGACTGATACGTTATTGGTGCTGTCTCCATCGACGTAGTCACGTACAGGGCGAACACCCGCCAGCTCAAGAAGGCGAGTAAAGCTTGGCCAGCTCGACCAAAAACCTAACCCGATCAGCCAATACGCATCTTGTAAAATGTATCGTTACTCACCACATCCCAGGCAACATCGATGAGTTTAGCGTTTTCGAATGACAGCTCACCAAACGTCAGTGTAATCTGAAAGAAGCCCGTTCGACTCCAGTAGCTGTAGTGACCTGGATTCAAGTTGAACTGGCCGTCTGGTGTGCACGCCACCTGTGATGAGCCTGTGATCTGTTGTACCAGCGCAAGCACAATGGGTATCGCGACAAGTCCGGTTGCCCAGATCAGAACAGTAAGAGAGAGTAAGATCTTCCCTACAAGGACTCCGTTCCATCGTGCGTTTCGGGTATCGTTCCTAGTCTCATCCCAGGCCTGGCGTATGAACTTTCCTGGAGAGAAAGGCATACCAGAGGTTGGAGCTGTAGTAATTTAAAACGGACGAAGAGTAATTAGACGTGAAGGGTGCCGGGGATACATGGGAGTTTCTAGAGGCGTCAACAACTAGTAGTAGCTTTTTAGTGGCGTAGACGAATGTACATTTGGACTAGCAGAACCGATCCGATAAGGAGTAGCTGCTGTGGACGTCGGAGGTACTGACATACCTGCACTCTGAGCGTCTGTCGAAGTTGTGGAAGCCAGACTATAAGCTATAACCGCCACTATGCAACCTTTCTTTTCCCCGCCTCGTTAGACATCCAAACTGTTAAGCGCGCGCATCTTCGCGGCAATGCCATCGAGTCTGCTTGCTCTCAGACGTCTCAACAGCTGGGAACACACCATGAGGGCGACTGGCAGCGGCGATTTCTTGACTCAACGCAATTACGAGACATAGCTCTTGAGATGCGTTGTTCATGTTTGCGGAAGCCCTTGCAACAGCCCTGGAGGCTAGGGATGCGGAGCTATTGCGAGCTGAACGTGAGGCTGAGATTTGGGGTTCCAGACTGCGCCATGTTGCAGCCACCACCTGGGCACCCAAATTATCGTGCGCTACGCTGGAGGCGAACGCGAAAGATCGAGTTCTGAAATTCATGAACGTTGTAGTCTCGCGCGAAGGTAAACGTTGAGTTGCGTGGCATCGCGTTGCTGCTGACGAGGTCATAGCCTCTCTCGCTTAGGCAACTGCCGAACCCGGCGTCCATCTGAGCCGCTCGACCCCAAAACACCACTATATTTACACTTTGATCACTCATTCCTCCACATACGACCATAGGACACTGAGAATTAGGCTTCCCGTCCGCTCAGCCATATACAAGCAGTGTACTGGCGGATTAGTAGTTAGGTGGGTGACCACTAGCGAATCCCCGCTGTTGTATGTTTTTGCCATTTGAACCTTCTTTTTTGCTGGTGCTGGCGACCTTTGTGGTGAGTAGAGGGAAGGGGTGGATGTACGGGCGTATACGTGGATGCGCGGTGGTGGTAGCGGCGACGGCTTGGTATGCTTGCGAGCAGACGTGTATTTTTTGGAAAACTTTCTGAGATTAAATGCATGTGTATTGGTAAGCGACGGTGAGACTATAAATAGGGAAGGGAAGATGAACGTTGCGTTGGGACATAGAGTCTGTGGATGATGTTAGACTACTCGTGACTTATGATACATCAACACCACATCAACAGTCCATCACAGCAAACACATCAGCATCAAGTCTACGCAATAATCATTACAACTATAAACCACCGGCCAGCAAATATACCCATTCCACAGAAACAAACCACTTCGGAATCAAAGTAGTCAAAGTGGTATAAACGCCTATTTCCAATGTTATGATTGGGAAGTTGAAGCCCCGAAGGCCCCGAAAGGGGGAGAGAAAGAAGAAGTGAGTGTACAAAAAAGGGGGTGGATGGGAATGAATCTATTATTCTCCTTGGCTAAAAAGAAAAAGCTATAACAGCTTTTATCTTTGCCTTACAAGACTTTTGGTGCTACATGATTGGGTTGTGGAGAGGGTGCTGTGCGATTCGGGTTCGACGGGGGGAATGCGCATTGGTGCTGGGATCGGGAGTCGCGGGGTCGGGGTGCTGGATACGTTTCGTGTCGACTTTAGGCAAATTCGGGATGACCGCAGCCACCTGGAGTCTTTTCCGCGGGTGGACGATAGGTTGAGACACCATTAACCAATTCCCAATGTCCAAAGCGAGTGGCGTGCGTCGAAACGACTCCGCCTCCTCCTCCGAATCGGGACGCATGCGACGATGCTGCTCTATCAAGGATTTCCGGGTAACTGCGAGGGACGTAGACCGATGAACCCGGGGGAGCGAAGTTCCGTGCGCGACGACATTCTTCGAACGGATGGGCTCCGTACTGTGCTTCGAGGTGCTGGGATACGCGAGGGGGAGCTAGAACCTATGCTTTAGCCACATGCTAGACGGTACCTCCAGAGAGGTTATCCAACATCTTGGCCAACACAAGGTTCAAGCAGTGCTGGGGGAGGGAAGGGGTATCAAGACAATCAGGCCATTACGCCTTGGTTGCCACCTGGGAAGGGGAAGTCAGTGGGCTGGAGTATATATATAAGGTGGGGATGTCGATTTCACTAGAGAGGAGCGGGGCGGAGGTAGGGGTTGTAGCCGAGCGACGTACCGACTTGACGCTTGATCTGTTCACGTGCCCATCGAGCAGTGTCTCGGGTTCGACCGCTGAAGTCTTGGTTTGCGCGTGTCTCCCTCGCCATTGCTGTGAGGAACTCGTGACGGAAGTACTCCCGGAAGTCACCAGCTGGGAACGCATCCGCGAGGTCACTGAATGATGTTAGTGAGATATGTTGAAAGAGGGACACCTGTACATACCCGATAACACCACACGAAGATCGGAGGAGAGCCTCAGTGCGGTTGCTGTCTGATTGGATAGTGCGGAGGAGGTCAAAGATGGAGTCAAGGTATGGGACGATGAGTTGAGCTAGAACTGTTAGTGTGTGATCAACGTCTTGGATTACAAAACTTACTCTTGTTGCTGCTCTTCATGGCAACGATGCAACCATCCCATGCATCCATAATACCCTCACGGAGGGAGGTGATGTAATCGATCATCTCGTAGTTGCCCTCGGTTGTCAATGTGACTTGCCCAGCTTGTTGCAGCACTTGAGCAACAACTGTCAGGTAAGTCTCGAATGCACCGTGGATGGCGTGTGCGATATCACCGAAGCATTGCAGGATAGCTGGCTTGAGCTGGTTACCAAGTTGAGGGCTGCGGAGGTTGTGGAGAAGCGAGTTCATGAAGGCATCGCAGAATGGCTGGACGTTCTCACCCAGAGATCGGGTGATGTCAGAAACCAGACCAATAGCCATGGAGCAGAGCGCGGGCTCTTCCTGGTTGTTAAGAGCATTGTACAGGAATGGCGAGAAAGCCTCCATGTACTTCTGGAAGTCCTCCTCGAGAGCCGTCGCGATCGAACCAATGGCGGCAAAGACGGTGTCTGGCACACTGGACTTGGGAGGTAGAGATGAAAGCAGACTCAGCAGCGCCTGCATGATACGGTCGGCCTGGGGCCTGATGTCGTTCTCCATGCGCTGAATAATGGCCATGATGACACTAGCCAAGCTAGTCTGCATCTCTTCGAGAGTCAGCTTGTCCTCAACGTTGACAACCTGCGATTGGAGTGCCATGGACTTCTCCAGACGCTCCAGGATGACGTTGGCGAGTTCATTGACCAGAGGAACGCTGTCACCAGCGGCGTTGTTGACGAAGGAGTTGAGCACTTCGTATGCGGCTGTGCGGAGCGTGTTGTCGGCATCAGCGCGCTCGGTGACCTGCAAGAGGCTCTGCACGCTCTGGGCGAAGTGGGGCGACAATGGATTGGTTGTGCAACCGGGCTCTCCCGCGAACCTGTCGGCCAAGTTCATCAGCGACCAACAGCACGATGCGGCCATCTTAGGGTTGCTGGCGAGACCGTTGAATAGAGCTCCGATCAGGGGAGGCAGGTGCTGCTGCGCGTCGAGTGCGCTGGGAACAGCCTCGCAGATGCGACCCAAGGCGTATGCGGCGGAGTCCTTGACGTGGATGTTTTGGTCATCCATCATTCCGATCAAAGTAGGCAGAGCTTGCTTGACAATGGGGTCTAGCACAGACTCCTCAGGACCCTCCATGATGGCACCAAAGGCGGAGACGGACGCATCACGGTAGTGCCAGTCTTCTGAACGGATGTACTTCTCGATGAAAGCAAGAACTGGAGGCATAACACCGCTACCGACACACTGTGCCCAGAGCTGCAAACATTGGTAGGCTGCGCGGGAAGTGTTGTACTCGTTGTCGTCGGCATCCTCGTCTTGCTTGGCAAGAAGCTCAAGCAGTACTGGGACGACCTCTTGTGTGGCAACTCGGGCAAAGTTGAAGTATTCGCGGAGCTCGGTGGAGCCCTCGGCTTGAGCCTGGGAGTTGTCGTCCTCGATGGCGATTTCCTCCTCGCAGACGGTGCACCAGAACTCGACGGCCAGCTTGGCGACATCCTCTTCCTCGCTCTTCATGCCCTGAATGGTAAGACCGAATAGCGCCTTCTCCATGTAGAAGCGCATCTTGTCGTAGTACAGACCCATGATGCGGTTGAGACATCCGTACGAACCCTGCTGGATGCGGCTGTCGTCCGCTTGTGTGGCTTCGCAGATGACCTGCATGATGTAGTTGCGCTCGCCCTCATTGTCGAAGTTGGAGCGGACGAACTCGATCGAGTCGCTGAGCGCGTTGATGGCGGCTACACGGACGTCGTTGTTGGCCTCCTCCTTGCGGGCACCCTGGACGACAGCCGTCAGGATAGCGTTGGAGTGCTGTGCTAGCGCGTCCCTCAACTCTACGTCGTCTGTGTCACACACGAAACCGATTGTGGTAAGCGAAGATTGCTTTTGGGCGTCGCTGCCTTGACCGACACTCTCGACGAGCGAGGTCATGAGCTCCGGCCATTGATTGCGGGGTATCTCGATAGCAGCCACGGAGGCGATGAACTGTGCGGCGGCGGAGCCTACATTCTTGTTGGGTGTGGCCAGAGTCCGCAGGGCCATGTCCTTGACCTGCTGCTTGATCTGGGTGTCGAGGCTGAGCCATCGTTCTTGGACCTGACGTAACCGGGCATACTCGCGAGCGGTGAAGGCGTTCTTCAGGGCCAGGGCGGCGGCCTGTCGGATCTGGGGCGCGGCTTGTTCATTTGCGAGTTCGCCGCCGAGGACGGTGAGGTATTGAGGCTGAGGATAGACGTTAGTGGATATGTTCTGGCTATGTCTCGGGGGGCATGCAGCCTTCTGGCAGCGGGGGACTCACAAAGTCGGAGTCGGCAGCCTGGATGAGCTGTTGCTCGGCGCTGTTACGGATGCTAGCGTCTGCAGAAGGGTCAGTCGAGCTTCTAGAAAAGTGCGGGTCTCAGTAGAGGCAGCATACCGGCGGAGTAGGTCCCCTCCAACACCTGGTTGATATCCATAACTGCTGAAGGGTGCTTCGAAGATTCAGGCGGGGTATCTGGCGGTGGGAAGAATTAAAGGGCCGCGGTGGCGGGAGAAGCAGAAGGTGGTGCGGCAGGAAGGCAGGGAGTGGTGAGGTTGCGGAGGGCGTCCGTCGTAGGGAGGGAATTTGAAGCGAAAGAAGGTCGAGCGTAGACAGGCCTAGTTCACGTGTTGTTTTCCTCCTAAAGGGTCTGCCCCACTAACAGTGCGGACTTTGGTGCAAGGAGACGGGCGTAAGGGCAGCCAGTCAAAGAGCAGCAAGCAACAGGCAAACACGGCGTTTGACAGTGAGACGGCGTCGTGAGGGCGAGGGTGAGGTGAGAAATTTATTCTTCCGCTGCTTCAGGCACCGTCGATGGGTTCGTTGGAGGAAGGAGCGGCGCCCGCCTGGCAACGGCGCATTGGCTCGCTTGCGCATCGTGCTTTCCCCCCCAGATTGAGCTCGCCCTCCCGCATGCAGCCCTGTGAGAGCCATGACACTGAACGAGGGTCCTACCGTCCTGCACAGACACTGCATAGAGTTATGACATCCAGCCTAGTCGTTGTGCAGCCTGAGTTCTCGATACTGTTACATCGCGTCGCCGTGGTTCTGTCTGGAAGCCAAGCCAAGCGTCTACCTGCAGCCCGTCAATCACCTCGAGGCTATTGGACGATACACGCGCATCATGACGAATCGCATCGATGCAAAACTCTAGTACACGAACATCATCATCTTGGAAGTTCCCAGTCATCGAGGCAGCCTACAGCTGAACCTACATCTGGACGCCTGGAGAGGGATACGGGGAACGACTCTTTGCTTGGGCATGTGCTCATGGACGAGTGTGTGCCAAACTCAAATGCTCACGTGTCAAGCTGTTCATCCTTGGAGTAGGCCAGAGTTGCTCATACCAGCCTTATCTGGCGGAAGCTCTTTGGTACTACTGGGAAAGGGTTCAACATTAAACTAGCCTTGAACCATGTCCCCTGACAAGGACATATATGTACGGAAAAGCTTGTTCTCTCTGAGATGCACCTTATAGCTACAGGCCGTGAGAAAGACATACACAGCATCGCGTCTCACAGCACGACGACGGTAGACAAGATATCGGCTCTTTCATAGGTGGATCGATATAGTAATCCCTATACACAATGCATCCAGCCCACCCACCCTGTTTCCAACAAACATCTATCATGCACCGCAGTCCCATCAATACAAAAGAATCTCTTCCTCAAGTAAAGCCCTCACATCCTCCCACTAGCCCTCGGATTCTCCGCCTCCTGCCTCCTCCAATCCCTCATCTCCTTCGTCCCCAGACTCCCCAATCCACCTTCCCCCCTCCTCTCCCAACCCCCCAACCTAACAACCAAACCCGTCGCATTATCCGCCCCCTCACTCCCCGTGCTCGTCTCCGTCGCAAAAGCCACAACATCCCTCGCCGCCTGCTCCGGCGTCTTGGCCTCTTTGACAATATCCACAATCTCCTGGTCACTCAAATGGCCCGACACACCATCTGAACACAAGATGAGGAAGGAGTATTCCGCGGGCGAGAGTTCTATACGACGAATTTCGGGTTCGGCGCTTACGCCCACCCGTTTGTGTGCCATGTCGCCGAAAGAACGGGTATTGGCGAGACCGGACATGCGTTCTTCGCCGAAGGAGTCGGTGACGAAGGAGGCGGCGAAGCGGCGGAGGCGGGTTGCTTCTTCGGGGAGGGAGGGGTGGTGGTTCGATGTTAGGGGGACGGCGAGCCCGGTTGCGGTGTTGCAGAGAAGTATCCTAGTATCGCCGACATGAGCGGTTATGAGGGAAGATGGCGAGGACGGGTGCCAGAAGGGTGAGGGCGTGGGCGTCGAGATGAGGGCTACGCTGCATGTGCTGCCGCCTTTGAAGCGGCTTGTACCGCCGATGTTTGTGCTGGTTTGGCGTGATGGCTGCCCGAGGATGTCGTCGTCGTTTAGAGCCTTGTCTGCGCGGACGGGGTCTTCTTCTTTCTTGCCGACTTGGGCGGCGACGAAGTCGTAGTCGGCTTTTAGGAAGGCGTATTCGAGGACGGTCTCGATTCCGATGCCTTCTTTGACGTCTTCGGGTATTGTTGGATTGCTGGTATGACGCTTCTCAATGACTTCTTTCTCAGCCGGGTGGCCGCGTCCGCCCGCGGACATGGAGAAGTACTCGGGCTTGAAGCGTCTGAAGTATCCGCCTACGAGCTCCTTCCATTGTTTGACCAGCTGCTGCTCGAGCTCTTCAGCTTTCCGTACGCTGTCTGATTGTCGCACTGGAGCCACGCCTTCGATTGGACCATCCATAGATTTGGAGCCGGCGGTTGGTAGCTGGTCTTTGCTTCCAGGCTGTGGCGGCTTCATAGCTGTTGTGCCCGGTGGCGTATGCGTTTCTATAGCATTCAGGCTTTCCTTGTCCCTCTGCCTTCGGTCGCCAGAAGAAGCCTCGCCCTTGGCCTTTGGGTTGCCAGACTGGGTCTCGGTTCTTTCCCGTGCGAGGCTGCTGGTGAGCTCAAACTGCTTGGTCGCCTTCTCCAGGTAGTCGTGCAGCTGCTCCCTCAGGAAGCCGGAGCACTCAGCGCCGCCATGGCCATCGAAGACGCCAAAGTAGAAGACCTGCGGATCTCCACTCGCGCCTACGTCTGGTGTGACCTCGGTGTCTGCGCTTTGTCCCTTTCTGCTCAGAGAGATGGGGCGCCGCCGTGCGAAGGCGGGGAGGTCAATGGTGCCCGCCTGGAACGCATCTTCGTTGTATGGCCGCGACCCCCGCGACAAGGAGACGCCGAAATGGTGTTTTGCGCTCTTCAATGGTATGCGGACGACGGTCATCTCGCGCGACGTGCCCACGACGGCAGCCGGCGACCGCCCCGACTTGTCCGCATTGTACGGCGTGCTCTTGTCGCGCGGGAGCTTGTGGTGCAGCGCAGGCTGGGTGACTCGCGAGTCAGGATGCAGCGACGTCGAGGGTATGTGGGTTATGAAGTATTCGTGGAAGCAGCGTCGCTGGCGGGGGTGGTGATAGGTTGGGGGCAGCCTGGGGGCGCGGGCGCAGATACAGGCGACGCGGTGTCCTATCGTGCCTCTTCGGGCGTGGAGGTTCGGTTTCCACATGTCGTCTCTTGCTGCGAAGGACGCATGGCGCGGTTAGGTGGGTAGTTATGTCATGGTTGGTGACCTTGGGATAACCAATTCCAAGCTCCAAACTCGCCATGTTCCGCTGTTCCTGGGGCCGCACTCCCGCCTTTGCCTTTTTCGGCACGTCATCCGTTAGCCCTACTCCACCACTCCATCAGCGCGCCGAGGTAGTGATGAGCGCCGCGACATTCATCAATAGTCGAGAGGCCTTTGTTGAGCCATACGCCCTTGTCTGGTCAGCTGACAAGAGATCGATTGTAGGTTGGGATACCACATTGAATCGACGATAGTCCAAGACGACAACACATCTGGGGCCGAGGAGGTAGGCTGGTCTTAATCATAAAGTAATAATTTGAATTACTGACAGCACATTGAGTCCTCCTGGGTCTTCTGTGAAACTTTTATAATCTTCTATACGTGTAATCGCAGTTCAATGCATTATATCATATTATCGTGCCTCGTTGGTGGTGCACCTGGGGCTGGGCTCATCCTCCCCTTCACTACAATCATCCTTTGCACATCCGCCGTGGCAACAATCGTCGGGCTCCACGGATCTAGATCCTCGCTGACTCTGTACACGCTGTGCTTCTTGTTGTTCTTCATCTCCTGCGCAACCATGTCTTGGCTCCTCAACGCAATGGAGTCGCCGGGCTGTAGGGACCCTTTGCGTGAGTTGGAGTAAGAAGACGCCTTTGACCGAACATCCGAAGCGATCTTGCGGAAGAGCGGGCGAAGGATGGCGATTGATGCTGCGATGATACCTGTGCCCGGCTCGGCGGTCGCCCATATCGTTGCTTTGACGGCGTCGACTAGATAGTTGTTAGTACATGCTCGAATGATGACATGTAGGTGAAGAAAGACTCACCATGTAAACCTGGGCCATTGTAGCCCAGCCCCTTCAGGTAGACCATCCTGAGGATCGAGCTCACACTGCCCACTGCACCCAATGCCATAACCATGCTAACGCTGATCTTACTCCTTCGATCGAGGTCACTATCCAGTAGGACGGAGATCGGTACCAATACGAACGTCCAATCAGCGATTACGTTGATTATGCCGTAGAGATACCCGGAGGTGAGAACAAGAACAGATGGCAAACAGTTGGGCGATGACGGTGATCGCAGGTTATCTGCGAGGCGTGTTGGGTCGCCGCAATGGAAAATGATGATCAGGACGTAGTAGAGGCCGTATGTTGCGCTGATGACGAGAACGACGTGGAATAGATGCCTTTGCCATCTCTTTGTAAGGACCCTTAGAAAGAAGAGGCCTAACGAGACTTTGAGGAAGCTCGTCGTTAGGACGTAAAAGACTTCGGAAAGTTGAATAAACTGCAATTTAGTTAGCACTGTGAGGGATAGTAAGTCTGGAGGCATACTCACAATTAAAGTTACGTGGATGTCCTCTTCGCCGAAGAGTTTTCGGTCCATGCTCCGAAAGGTGATGGCCATTACGAAAGCGCAATAGCAAGTGAACAGTAAAAGTGAGGCCACCATAGCAGCGTCGTCCCAACCTGGAGATCTCGTGATGCGATACCGCACCCATAACCGCAAACCGACTGTAACATAGCTCAAGACAATAAGTGTTATTATACCATAGAAGGTGATTCGACCCAGGAGCACCAGCTCCATAAGCTTTTCGCTTGCCATAGTTTAGAAGGGAATTAACATTGATGTATAGATATAAGGTCCGAAATCGGGAAGGGACCAACCACGCACTGGCGGAAGATTAGCAGTCGAGAAGTAGCACGACGGTAAAGGATCCGAGCTGCAGGTAGAGGTAGCCGGGCATTAAGAACGCATGGCCTTGACCACGATGACCGCGGTAGGAAACATCCCGGCAGTACGCGTTGCATGCATGGTGAGGGATCGGATGTGTGGTATGGGTCATGAACTTTGTTATTCTGCAAGCCTTCACCGATTGGCTACTGACGTAGGTGGTAACCCGAATGGTTTGTGAATGACCTGGATGTCGCAGCTCAAGCATCCCAGATGTTTGGTGTTTAGTAATGTAACCCATGCGGATCAGATCCCGCCACAGTGTTCTCGGCAGTCCGAAGAATGTTTGATGCGTGGGAGCCCCTGTTGTCATGGTCAAGGTGTATGGAGAGGCCCGTCGATCTTGAAACACTGCTTCCACATCCAGCGGGCGGCCATGAGCACCGAGGTCATGTACGCTGGGGAAGCTGGCCTCATCGATGACGCTATGAAAGAAAGCCTCGTCGGATTGCGAAGTCGTACCATATCTAAGTGTGGATATGCCTGTGATAACTCGGCTTTGCCGATGGATGGGCTGCACTACTGAATATTCCAGGAGGTAGTGCCATCCGCATAGGTCTGGAGTTGACTCATCAGAAACACAAGTTTCGATACAAAGAGCCTCGACGACTCGTTCTCCGCATGACAATAAGGAAACGCGCTCGATGTTATACAAATCTGGAATTATGGTATGATTGACAGCGGAGTGTAGTTTTGACGACGTCTCAATCTCCTCTCCCAGATGCGATAGGTTGGTGTTCTCGAAAGCTCTCATGTTTGACTAAACAGTCCGTGTTTGACGAGGGCGCGTGAGGCGTGTTTCGCGTGGGCCTGGTGCAGAAGGGAACATGCCCAAACGACTCACGTGCAGATGCGGCACGCATGTTTGATCGTCCGAACATTAGGAGAGAACCGAACCCGTGGATACCTGAGGCGAACGTCACTCGGTGTTCGTAAGGCCCACGGTTGTGGCCACAGGTGTCAAGGCGGGAAGGCCCGTGTGGTTGGAGATGGTCCGGGATCTCGGCGGCACTGATACTCCGATCCTAGCGCCTCGGCGAAAGTTTTCTTCTTTGTCTTCGAGCTGCAGCGCCTCGACTTTTACTTCACATGCGCGGCCAGCATCCAGGGGACAACTTTGAACACTATGATCTTGGATTTCCATGGTTATAATGTGCAAAGTTGTCAAAGGGATGTTCAACACGCATGTGCCTTCAATCTAGGCTCTCAGCGCGTCGCAGCGCGCCACATGGCTCTATGTACAGGCTCTACTTCGCACATGCTCACTTCTAGTGCAGCGCGAGACTAACCCAGCAATTGGTAAGTTCCATCACTCCTACACCCTCCCCTTTCATGATGAAAAAAAGACAAAATTCACAGACCTGTTCGTAAAAATTGTGTCGAAAACTTTGCTTTATATAATCTGATCACCTCCTTTGGCTACCTGCTTCCCTACGTCCACATTAGAGAGCTCATTGGCTAACAAAGAGCAGTTATCGGTTCTTGCGATCCACTTGTCCACATTACCAGGCGGTCCGGAGTCTTGTTCAACACCACATCTGCTTGAAGTAAGCCATCGCCACGACGATGAGTGGGGTTGTTTCTTCAATTGATAGAGCGACTCGAACAATGCTGGTAATTCACCGCCTGGCCGCCCTTTCAAGACCGCTTTGTAGCTCAGCACAATGATGCACACCATAGTATACTTACACTCGACATTCCTTTGTCCAATTCAAATCTGTAACCTCACAAGACTCGATGAAAGAATCTCGTGAGCTCTCATATATATACGATGTGAGCCGTGTTATCTGTGCGTCCCGTACGCCGTGAACCTATCAGATCGCTCAAGCTATGTATCCATCTACCGTTTCACGCATCTCGCCACTCTCTCCGAGGTCACACAAGGATCAACCCACGAACGCATACACCCAATACGACTTACAGTCAGGACTTCCAACGCTTCACGCTCGTCAGCCCGACTCGATAACAGATACTCATCTACGAACAGGTCATGCTCATACTATATCAGGAACCGACTCCGGCGCTGTGCTTGGTCTACCCAGTACGATCGATCCTTGCCTTCTCGGCGAGTTTGACTTGACGCAATTTAATCTCAACGAAGATTGCAACGATGATATATTTGGTCTAGACGCGCTCGACTGGATACCTAATAATGGCCTCGATGTGCCCATGGATGAGGAGGCTTTGAACGGGGTCAACGCAGGCGCATTCCAACTCGGTGACCCCTCTCAAGAAAACCACACTGGTCAAGGATTTGTATCTGCGCCTGTGCAAGATAAGACCAATGATGAGTTACATCAGTTGGTCAACCAGAATGAGGTTGGACAAGTGTCGACTGATTTGGTTCCCGTAGAGCCGCATGGCTACCAGCCTACTGACCCTACCTATGACTTCTCGCAGGATCTTGGTCTTTGGGATGCTAACTTCCAGATGCCATCTCAGTTCTTAGACACCACTCCCGGCTTCTCCGCGTTTCCAGGTGGCAACGCGTTCATGCCGCACATGACGCAGTACCCTGTTGCTGCCCAGCCTTCACAGACGTATCCTGACCCATTCACTTCGATATACCCTGTTCAGCCGTACTACCAACCAACACAACAGCCGTATCCGCAACAGCACACTGGATACGTGGCGATGCCTACCGAACAGTATACTGCATCACACCAATTCAACAAAACCTTTCCTTCAAGCTCTCGCCAATCCAGTCGCCCTGCACCGCAATTACCCAAACGTAAACGTACTGAATCTGGCTTTGGATCTGACGATGACGCTTATGTCGCCAAGCAACCTCCCAGGCAGCTTACACATCGAACCCGATCATCAGTAGATACCCGGCACGATTCTAACGTTTCCTGCGCAAGCTCGGTCAGCAAACCCGTCAAAGTAGCTGTCGTGCGAGCTGGGGAAAAGCCAAAGAAGTGCGACGACAAGCCCTGGGTCCGCGTTAACAACACAACTAGGGGCGAAACCACGCGTACCGCTCGTATCAATCAACACGCAGAAGAAGGCCGCAAGTACAAAACCAAGCCTCTTCCTCACGGCAGCTGGTCATCATCATCGGGCTTTAAATTCGAGTACAGCCAAAATAACGGCATGCACGAGTTCAAGAAGCGTACCATGACTGCCCGCGAGATTCATGAGTACATCACGCAGTATCCCGGCGACAATCTGCGCATCTGGATCCAGCCCGTAGCCTCAGACTCCGCCCGTCGTTATGCTTCTGCATCTCACAGCCACTGTCGCTTCGACGCATGCCCAATGCGTGTATACACTGGCAAAGGCACAGCTGAAGTCGGCAACT